GTCCCAGAGCAACCTGTGCTTCAAGAACTTGTGCAAACAGAGGTAGCTTTTGGGTGATGGTGGTAAATATTGTGGTCTGAGATGCTGGGGCTGCTTCAGAAACTATTTTTCAGATAGAGATGCCAATTTAGCTGAGCTGAGGAACCTGGGTGAATGGCCTGGTGCAGACCTCACAGGAGGGAGGTGTCTGAGGCAGAGTCCTGCTAGGCCTCTGGGTTGAYTGCCCAATGTATTTTAGCCGCTCACTAGTTGATGCTCACTTGGTTGATTCCCCGCCGCCTGCCCCCGAGGAATAGGATATGTTTCGGTAATGCTCACTTAGCACTAGTGCCACCTGCTGTATTTGAATAGCAGGGACTGAAAGCCAAAGGGACAGGTTGCAAGGGGAAGGTGGCGCTGAGCAGCCAGAGCCTGTGCTGACTTGGGGAGCGCTCTTAAAAAGATGCCCCTGTCAAAACACCTGTCCTTACCTTGTATCTGGCCTCTGAGGCCATCCTGTATTCTCTCATAAAGTAGTGAAAATCAGGAACCAYACTTCCCGCTCAAACTGCTCTGTTGAGGTAAAGGCAGAGCGACAGGGCTGTGACCCATTTCCGTAGGGATTTGAACTGGAGGACTTGACTTTCTTCAGAGATATGAGGTGCCTTTTTCTTTTCTCTTCAAATACATATAAATATATACACACATACCTAAMAGGCGTGCCACAGGCCTCCATCGTGCATGTTTAGGACCTTTTTTTGTCCCTGTATTAGTCAAATTTGGCAAGAGGGAGAGGAGTGGCTGAAAAGCCGCTGCTTTATACCTCTGCAAAGCAGAAATGCCAGAAGCTGATGTTAATGGATGGCTTGGTCAAGCAGACAGAGTGTTGCTGTCCTTTACCTGGCAGCCTGTGAATTAAGAACCTACCCCTGCAGAAATACCAAATGCCCAGGAGCAATTTCATATGGGAAAATGGCTTACTCTGTGTTTGCAATTATCATTGTCACAGAAACCAAGAAGAAGAATGTATTAATCTCATAGCATTCTGCCTTTACCCACCCATAACAATGTCCCAGCAGTGAATTATATGCAAATCATCTTGAAACATGTAAATATTGCTTTATATTCCCTTATATGCTGCCTTTATATTTATTTTTGTAAAAAAAAAAAAAAAAAAAAAAGCCCAACACTGGAACAATCTCATGCCAAAGCTACTGATACTGAATGAGGGCTGCCTGCTGTTTATCTCATATTTTTCCATAGTATCAAATACAGAAAGTATAAATATTTAATTCTCTGGCACCACTTTTACAGTCTCCCTCTTATCTGTTTAGCAAATAATTCAGGTAATTCAGCTGTTCTTAATCTGGATTTGTTTATTATTCATATGATCATAGTATTCCAATGGAGACTTCTGTATTTTCTTTTCCTCTTTGTGGTATTGTAGTGAGTACCACTCACTCTGTTGTGAGTTACCACAGCAGGTGATTTACACTGACTCACTGGAGAAGCAGCTGATGTCTCCTTTCTTGGCAGGAAGGTCTCTTTGCAGTGTTTTTCTCTCTTTCCAAGATAGCTGTTTATTAATACGATTATATCTGTTGTTTATACAAAGCTTGCTATATTATAGATTAATGATATTATAGTTTTCCAGTTTTAATATCTATGGAGTCAGTCTAGAATGTGAAAATTGAGTTTCTTTGAGCCTACTAGAACAAGAAATGTAAAGGACCAGTGGAACAGAGAAATTATTTTGGTGACCAGTGAGCCAGAACAGTCTTTCTGTCTTATTCTTTCCTTTAATAGTGCACGTTCTGCTGCATTAGCAAGAGCTAGCATTTCAAACAAATTTAGTAACTAAAGGAAGTTATTTGCATGATGTGGAATATCTATGTACATGCCTGCACACACTGTGTACAAGCACAACAAATCTTTGTCTTTGTCAGAGACAGTTTTCTTTCCCATTGTTTATTTGCATGAGAGTTGGTCTTTTTCAATCATTATAGCTTGTACCTGTACAAGRCACAAATAATATTGGAGTAAAAGGTACCAAATAATATGCATATCCCTGCAGAATGTGCTCTAAGTCTGTATTACTTTACAAAGAGACCTTGTATTTATGGCGTCAGCACCCTCAATATATTTATGATATTCCTAAAGTTTATTCTGTATTCTCAACATATTCTAGTTGCCGAACAAATGTTTTACTGGAAGCAATCCAAAGCATAAATAGAATTTTAATTCTTCTTTTGGGTTTGTAACCCCAATTAGCCTTTACAGCTCCTTTGAAAAATGTGCAAGTAAAGACGTAATTATAAAGCAGTTTCAAATTAACTTCAGTTGAATAGCTAATTTGTCTTTAAAAAAAAAAAAAAAACACGTTCAGTTATTAGAAAATCAGAACAGGTTAAGTGGGTCTTTTGATGACATGTCATGTGAGTCTTGAAGCTTTTCAGACCTTGAAGAGGTGCTTGGTTGACTCTCGCATTTATCTCCCCTACCTGATGATGAGCTGTAAAGAATATTGTGTTGATATTGTCACTGTTTCCTCCTACAGGTCATGTGTATCTAGGAACAAAGCTGCTAATAAGAAGCACTGATGTTACATGAATTTCCCATGTGTTTTCTGAAGAGATTTACTCGTGTGTGTTTGTGGAAATAGTGCAGAGGCTATAGCTGTAAAACACAGACAGGTTTCTCAGAGGAAACCTTTGGAGCTTGGAGAGGGAAAGGTGCCAATCTTTCTCTCCGGTACTTGTATTGTAGGCTACCTTCCCACAAGATTTCTGTCTTGGGAGAAAAGCATTTGTTACATTTTTACAGCCTGGTGACATAAAGATTCACTGCTTTGTTCATGTGAACATTAGCTACCATCTGTGTTGGAGAGCATGATTTGCCATGTAAATTAAATTAAAAGTATTCCTGTGAAGTGAAATCTGAGTGGGAAAAYGGTGAGCTCCTGAATGCTCACGTACCCTTATCCTGGTAGGTGTGAAAGATGCTGTTGTGAAACTGAGCTGTTTTGCTTTGAATATATGTAACTCTAACTCCAAAGTCCTTGTAGAGTTCAGAAGTGTCTGYGCAGTAAGTCAGAGCTGTTAGCAGGTTCTGCTGAGCATCTGTAAGATGGCCTGAGCTCTGATATTTTCCCTTTGCTGGCCCATTCTGGCTACAGCATAGTTGAGAGTTGTCTGCTTTGAGAGGGCTTGTTCTTTYACTGAAGTTCCAGGGCTGAGTGACATCTGTTAAAATGCTTCAGGCCTCTACATGAGCTTAAGAGGGTTCTTAAATGACACTTACCTGAGGAATGAAGAAACTGCAGGTGCCTATTAGCTCATCACCTAAGCCCCAAGACAGGGCGCATAGAAGCTGTTGAGCCTGCTGCAGAAGGCCAATACCTTGGGGAAAATGTGTCCATGGGTCTCATTTCTGGGGTCTTGGGCTGCAGACTCATTTGCTCATCAGTGGCAAAACCTGTCAGATGGAAAGCCAAAAGGGTGCATCATTGCATCATTGGGAAGTAATATGACACAAGCCATAAACATAACGCGTTTTTTTTGAGAAGTAGTTATTTAAAGGTTATTTAATGAGGTCTGTCTCCTTTTTCCCAGCTGTGATTTGTATGTACTTTCATATTTCCATTATAAAATTGCTGGAGGGATATTGCTAGAAATGATTTATGTGCCTGCTACACATTGGTATTTTGGTACTTCTACTTYTAAAATAGATGGAGGAGTGTAAGCTGAGTCTTAATAAATCTCTGTTGTAAATGAAGTAGGGTTTTAAATAAGAAATTGGGGGGCGGGGAAGGAAGAGCTTCTCTAGCCTTGTTTTTCACAGCGATAATCATTAACCAAACTTGRCTATGTCTCCTGAGTAGTCTCCTGAGCATTAGAAAAGATAATTCAAGCAGTGTGTGGACCAGWGATTATAAAATGAGTTGTGAAAGTAGGTGGGTGAAGCACCACATTTGAAATGTAAATCACCTTGCTGCACATCCGATGGAAGCCCTTCCTCCAAATGCCATCTCTGCCTCACTCTGCTGCCCAGGACTGTGGAGCCCTCAGGCTCAGAAAGGCCCTACTGGGCCCTTGCCTGCAAAACAGCAGCTCACAGGTGTGGAATAGCTCCTCGGTTTGAGAGACAGCTTGCTGCTGCAAGAGTCCTTGTGGAGATGGGATCGTAGGGCACCTGCCCCGTCCCCTGCTTGTCTGACGTGCTGCTAGGCAGCCTGCGTCCTGCCCCTCGCCTGGTATACATCTTTCTATTCAAATGAGGCATTAAAGGTAACTAGCTTCTGTTGTACCTGAAATGTGCCTTTTTAGTTCTGTTCTGCTGCAATTGTGACCTCTAGTGGAAAAAGTTAGTCTGTTATGATTATGCAAAATTAATTAATTTGAGCAGTGTTGCAATATTCATTAAATCTCATGTAGTTGCACTCTTAACACTCACTCATGGCTAAAATCCCTTCAAGGCACCATACAACTCATAGAAGGGGGCGGGGAAAGCCTAAGAAGCCCCCAAAGACTTTTTGCAAATTTTTGTAAATTTTTTTTAAACAGCATTTCTGTTTTGTTTTAAAGAGGAACTCTTCCTTTCAGGAATAGGAAGAGATGTTCAGGAATAGGAGGAGAGTTTCAGTATTAAAAAAAAAAAAAAAAATGTGGAATAATCACAACTTTCAAAGAATGGACCTAAATCCTAACAGCTAAAATAGGCATCACATTTCTGCAGTGGCCTGTTGGCTGCAGTGTTTGCACTGCTCAGGAGGGACGGGGGCAGATGGCAAGTCCTGTGCCACAGGTAGCACCGGGCTGATGGAGACACGGGATTCCAGAGAACCTGCATCCTCCCCAGCAGGAGTTGGGAGCTGCCTTGGGGCTTTAGGGATGAGCTGTGAAGTGTAGCATGGAAAGGGGAGGGTCTGCAGCATCTAGTTGTGGTGCTTGATGGTGACAACAAATATAGAAGAGAGATTTATATGCTGGCACTGACTGAAGTCTTTTTCCTCTTATTCTCAGGGTCTGAACATCATCTTTCATGTGGCCTTGGCACTCTTAAAGGTAAGTCATTGATTAAAAAACTTTTTGTAATGGGCAAAAAAAAAGTATGGAGTATGTTCTTAAATGAGTTTATCGTATCAAAGGGAACAGTAATAGTGGGACTTCTASGGAAAGCAAGGAAAGAGACATGTCTTTGGGTAGGGATGCCTTCAAACATTATGATAGATGTGTTTTCATTAAAATTAACAACGTAATGAAGTTATTGGGACAAAAGATATACGGAGTAAAGATTTAAATGCCTCATGTAACTGTTTCTGAGAAAATGGTTCTGATTGATTTCATGACTTATTTGGTACCTAGATTCATTTAATAGCCAAGAAACCCACACCAGAGATGTGAAATGCACTTGCATTATTGAGAGAGAGGATTTAGAAATATTTGGTAATGGGGGTACCTTCTGTCTTGAACTTAGATATAGGAGAGTTCGYCTAAACTGGAGTGAACCTTTGACCTTTGGGTGCCAGTGGCAGAGCTCGAAGCTCATTTGCATTGTCTTCCAGGAGCTGGCTCTGCGTCAAATCCACCTGCATACAGGCATGTGGTGTGGGATGTGAAACTGCCTTCCCATTTCAGGGGTATTGCCATAAAATGATTTAGGCAAAGCTCAGGGCATGCTCTTTGCTGCCTCTGTACTTTGCTYGCTGCTATGGGGACTTGTTCAGTGTGACTGATGGGAAACCTGTCAGGTTATGGCACCATGGGTAGTGCTTCTGCAGTAGTAAGAACTGGCTCTGGAAGCAGGTGGAGGTGCTGATGTACAGCTCTAAAAGCTGACAAAAAGGAGGAAAAAAAGGGTGCTTGGTGCTGAAAGTGACTGGCAAGGGAGAGGGGACCACAACAGCCTTGACCTGGGTTTGGTTACCCAGGATGGCATTTGGACTCTGGGGATTCCCCCAGTGATCTGCATTCCTTTGGATTCCTGCTGTCCCAAGTGGCAACAGGGGAGCTGCAGTCAGCAACAATGACATCAGTTCTCAAAAAAATGTGATAAGGTCAGAAAGGGGTCTGTACTKTCTCACTCAGAGATACATGTTGCAAGTAAGACCATGTTTTTGTCCTGAATCATCAACCCAAGCTTCATTTAATACTAAATATTCTATTTTTTTCTTCTTCCTTCATTTTACATATTTATATATTTCATACTCCCCTGCCTGTACCAGGAGGAGAACGGTCAGGAAAATATTTGGTCASTGTGTCGTAAGTTTGAGAGCTTTAAGAATCATTTTCAGTTCTGCTAATGTCATTTCTTCTTAGACATAAGCGGTATGAGGCATCTATCTGATTTGGCAGTAATAGCCTTGAAACGGTAAGGGAGGTGTTATCTTCAGAGAAAATTTCTGTTATTGGCTAAAGCAAGTGCGGAGGAAATAGAGGTAAATCAGATGAGACTGTGGATGTGAGCCACCTCCGAGTGATGCTCAGTAGCTCGAGGACTCATGTTCAGCAGAACTGGTCTAGCAGGGACAGAGGGAATTTTGTGCTTGGGAGCCATGGAATAAATGATTGTTACGCCTTTGCTAAATAGCAACAGAATTGGAACTTTTTTGTCAAATTCCGTCCTAAGTCTATGGAGTTTCTCTCAGTTACAACTGACTGCTTATCTGCCTGCTGAACAGCAGCTGACACTGCTCCGGTGACCAGTTACATGCTCGTGCAGCGCCCTTCAGAAAATAGGGGTGTACATCTTGTAGGAAGACGAGGGGCATCCTTTCTGCTTCCATCTCCCGCGTTGGGATATCTTTGTAACGAGTTACAGCTTGCTGCTTAAAGTGCTTTGTCCATGGAGACTTTGCATTGTGATAAGGCATTAGCTTGATTTCTTATTGCATTTTAAGGAAAAATACCGTCTTTTTTTTCCCCATAATATCTCAATACTGTGCTTTCTTAGATGCGTCCTTCAGTATTTACTGCTTTTTGTCTAGTCCACAGTGTGCACGATGGTTGTTTTACCCAGCTGGTGGCAGTATGTGACAGTGACATGGATCATGTAGCTAGTGAGGTGGCAGCAGGTCCCGATCAGCACTTTGTAAGTGGCCTTGGGTGGAACAGGCGAAGGGTGCCCCCCCTTCCCTTACCTGCATAGCGGCACAGCGAGCGTTGCAGCGTGAGGTCAGCCCCTTCCCAGGAGGGCAACCGCTCCTAGAAAGCTCAGCCTCAGAAGGGACTTGCCACGTGCACTGCTGAGATCTGTAAAGAGACTCCCTGATTAGGACTGTTGCTTTGGAGTGCTGGGAAAGATACTGTCTTAGCGCAGCAGTCCAAATGTGTGCAAAAATAAGGCTCTGGATTAAGTTAGTGCAAATGAAGGGAAGAATTGATAGAGATGTAAGGAATTATCTTGAGTTTTTAAAATAGGTCCAAACCAAACTTTCTTTATGGAGATAACATACTCGCAGATAATGATTAATAACAATCCTTGTTATCCRGGTTGTTGAAACAGCATTTTTCTCAGAGTAACCATTGAAAACATGTTGCTTAATGCCAGAGGAAAGCCAGTGCTTTGATAAGTAAAGTRTGTGCTGTTCAAATTGAAATGGGTAGAAATTTGTGAGGAAATAGTGCGGTGTGTTATTGCTTCTGCTTCCCAACTTCTGCATGCCGCAGAAGGCTTACAGAGGCTCACTTGAGCACATGTTTGCTGAAAAGCAGCCCCTCTACTTGCTCCTCCCTGGGCTTAGGCTAAAGCAGCAGCATTTCTAACGGCAGCTGTGCAAGCCCTGCTCACCTCATGATATCAAGTGATAACTGTGTATTAAGCAAACAAGACAGTTATTTGTCTTGGTTGTTTCTGTTGACACCTCTCGATCTCAAGGCTGTTTGTGTCAGTGTGTGTTCAGCAGACTGGAGAGAAGAGCAGTGGCCCTGGCAGGCATGGCAGATGGGACTGGTAATTGAAGTAGCTAGTACAGAAGCTTCTTGGCTTAAAAAAAAAGTCAAAATTGCCATGCATTAAAAGTATTATTTGAAATTATATGAAATGTTGTATCATTTGGTTCATGGACTGGAAAAAGACCTTCTGGGCTAAAGAAATGCCTCTCCTTTGCTATGGCAGGCTGCTCTATGGCATGATACCTGTTCTGTAAGCTAATAGCAGCAGAACTAGTATTGCTCTGGTGGGGCTCTCTTCTCTTATTCCATTCTAAATTTGTGAATGATCATTTTATGCTCCCTTGCCCTTACTCAGCATTGTCTTTTAGCTAAAATAGTTCCCTTCCAGGCACACTCACAGTGGTGTTTGTCATCTTGAATCTTGTGTACCTTGACGTAGGTACCAGTGATTCTTTAATGAATAAACCAGTATTCTTGAGTTCTTGATCGTCTTAGTTTTCTTCTCTATCTCCTCAAATCTGAAAGGTGTAATGACGGGATCTTTGAGAAACCCCAAAGTGTCTTTTGTATTGATTCTTTTTTTATATTATTTCTTGAAAATCTACTTTATCTGACAACAGAGCACTGTGTTTGTCTCTCACGTTTGTATGGAGTGATAGTCATGGCCAACCAGAGGTTCTGTAACTACTGTTTTATCACTTTAGATACAGACATTTGCAGGGATAGAAGTTTTTAATAAAATTGTCTTATGCTTCTGGATACATTTATGTTTATCAGTGAATGCATGGCAAATTGTATATTTTTTTCCACAAGATGCTTTGCTTTTTTGTTATCATTGTGTAAACATTAGGCCTGATCTCTCTCAGATTCTGTTCACTTTTTATCTCTTGAACTGCTGCTTGCATCAGCCTAGTACTTCGAAATAAAGTSTGAAATTTATGTTGAAGAGGTAGCTCAAATTTTCTGCTCCTAAGAAGCAGGCAGGGCAGATAGAGCAGTGATGCCTAAGTCTGTGTCTCAGATACTATTGTTTGTGAATATCTCCCTCTTTCTTCAGAGAGTTGTGTGTCTTGTAGTGCAAACCAAAATTACATCCATGAAGATCATGTCTCGCAACATGTCCCCTCTACTGATACTATCACTTTGGCACTTTCTTGCCCGGGCCACTAGTGTTTAAAAAGTAGTGTTTGAAGAAAACAAAGAAAAATATCACCAAAGTTAAGCATGTTTGCACATTACAGCTTCTTACTTTTCAAGAAAGAAACCAAAGAGTGCAAGTCGTAACAGCAGCTTAGTGAATAAATTCTATCACCCATATGAAAAGATGCAGCAGGAAATTGTGCGACGTCTTCCATATCCCTTTGAAATGAGGTACTGATGTTTTGTATAACCTCATCAGCTAAACTTCTGAGGATGTTGATGAAGACTGGGCAAGTGCTTATTTTAGGTAAAACTTGTGCATTTCCAGCATAGGTTATTTGCGGGGCGGGGGAACAAGAGAATTGTCTTTCAGGCAGGGCTGAAATTATGACAGTTGCCTTGTGAACTAGTAGAAAGTGATTCGAATTCAGTTGCATTTAGAGTGTAGGCCACTGGGCTTAGGCCTTGTGGCCTACAAGAGAAAAGAGAAAAAGAGAGTTATTTTTTCAAGAGAAAAATAACTTAGTCTAGTTCTGCATATGCTCTAACTTTGCATGTGCAATGCCATGAGGAGCCTGAAATGTTGAAAGTAGCACTGCTTTAAGCAGAAGATTGGATGAAATGTCATACAAAATTCCCTGACCACCTTTTTTCCTCTTGTTATTTTAGGATAATCTAGTTTAGACTACTTTGTAACTGCACTAACCTAACCTCCAAGAGGCTTCTCTTAAAACCAAAGTATCCACATTAAAAGCTGCATTAAAATACCTGTTGCCCTTTATATTCATGCTGAGTTCATTTTAGCTTCTCTAGGTCCAGTGACTTTTTAGTACATGGACACTTTAGCAGCTGCAGTGATTTTCTCAGCTTAATTGCAGACAATTTGCTTTGAAACCCATTAGTTTCTTGTGAGGCTCTTTGTTCTTGTGTTGAAAGGGATTTTGAGCAGTTGGTATCTTTGTACTTTCTCCAGATCATGCATATTTTTATATATTCATTGTATCTGTTTTCCAGATTTAATACTCTTAGTCTTTTTGATTTTTGTCCTTATTTGGAAGCCTCTGTTGAATCTTGTCATCTCCCTCTGTACCTGTTTTGTCTCTGGTCATTCCATCCCAAACCAGAAATGAGTTGCACATGATGTTCAAAAGAAAAATTATACTGTAGAATAATGGCCTTTTCTCCCTAACTTTGAAGCTTTCCTATTAATTGCTGATATTTGACTTATTTTCTCGACCTCTGCTGAGCACTGAGTTCACATTTTCATAAGACTGTCCATGATAACTGCCAAGATGAATTCCTGTATAGTAAAAGCTCAGAGTCTATCTTCTATATAGAAAACTGAGATTTTTTTCCCCTGTATCATATTCATATTTATCTATATTGACTTTTTTTTACCGTACAATCGCCCCCTCATTCAGTTTCTTGCAGTCCTTCTGTGAGAAGGATTCACTGTCCCCTGCAAGTTCTTCACTGGTTTCTCTTGTCTTTAAAACCCTGGCCAATATAGTAGCATGTGTAGACATTACCACCTCACCGTTGACCTGTATTTCCAAGCCACTTAAGAGCAGGTTTGCTAGCATGAACCTCAGCACAGCTCCTTGGTGCAATCTGTTGGATAAATGAATTGTACTGCTGTTTTCTATCTAGTAACATTAAAGATGTAAACGTAACTAAATTCAGATTACACAGCTGTGATTAGACCTGAAGAATGGAAAGGGCTAAGTGATTTCTGAAAAGGGTAAGAGGCAATGCTTTTGTGTGAGCATGATATAATTTGTATGCATTTTTCCTACAAGATTAGTGGTGCTTTTGCAGGAAAGACTGGAACAAAGAGAAGACAGGGAAGGCTTATGTTGCTTGTGCAAGGAGAAGCTGGGTAGGCAAAGGAAGATTAAAAAAAGAAATCTGCAGTCCTTACATGGGGTCATTATTTTTAAAACTAAACAAGGTAGGCAAGGAGCCAGATTTTGCAGCAAATTGTCATGATGTTTTAAATATGCAAGTGGGAACACTACTATCTGAGAACTAATCCTGCGTGAACACCTGAAACATAACACAGATTTTTTTTTCAGGCATTTTGTGTTCCTGGCAAAATATTTGAGATAGAAGTTGCAGTGATCATGGTGGCACATAATTATTCCTCATAGAAAAATGTCCAAGAAGCACAAAGCTCTTGCTTCAACTGTCATAAAACACTAATTACCTTGGAYAGAAACCTGTAATTTTCCTTAGAATCCCCCGAACTCTCTCCAGATATTTTCTCAGTGTTTATATATTTATATTGCCTAAAAAAGGAGTCGCGTCTCCCTTGGCATATTTTGAAATACAAAGATTTGTAAATGACTTGGCAYAAAGATCCTTGCCATCTTGCTAACCGAGTTTAGAAAATAAAGACATTTTCAAGTCAGAGTCTGTACAGATTGCATTCCATAGACAGCAGTTTGCTGGTAGCCCCCTCTTTGAGCCCAGTGGACCTCAGCTGCATCTGTCTTTGGTCTTCACTGGGGCAGTGCAACGTGAGTGAAGTAGCAATTTTTATACATAGGAAGGCCCAAGGATGGAAACAAAAAAAAAATTAATTGTAATAAAAAAAAGTTGTCTACAACATAGAAAATAGACTCTACTCTGGGTTTTACATGTTTTGCACACTCGGTAGAATGTTTAATTTAGGTTATTGTCTTTTAGACCATTTTGAGATTTGAGCTGATGTGAGTCAGGCCTTTTTCAAAAATACAGGACAATCTAATGTGGTGAAGACATGTCTAAGAATAGCAAAGTCTACATGAAAAGAAAATCATAATTTCTGATCAGACATGAATAAAAATAAGATAAAGTATTCCCTTACAGTGTACAAGTCCATAAAAATGATARGGAGTGTAAAAAGTCTCAAACTGCAGATCTGTGTGACAGTTAACTGTCATACTCGGTGTGAAGAATTGGCATAATATTTATTCTGCACTGCTAGTTTTTCTTTTTCTTTCTCATTTTAGTCTCTCCAAAAAGGAGACTCCTTGGAAAAAAAAGGCACAAWTTTTTTGTGAAATAAAAGATGAGACATGACCACTGCAGCATCTTCTAGGAGCTCCTGCAAATCCCACCACGCTGGTAGGGATCTGGTTTTCTCGCCCAACCTCTGACTAGTTCAGGTTTTGGAGGATCTCTTTTCAAACAAGAAACCTTGCTATAAAAATTGTCCTGACAATATTAGACCACCTCTCTTGGGAAGCTAGTCTTGTTAATTTTCCTCTTTCCTGAAAGGGTGCATCTTGTTTCTAGCCTGAATTTGTTTAATTTTGGCTTGTTAGTRTTGGATCCTTCTAAACTTTCTAGAATTCAAGACTTTATTAAATAATCAGTTCATTTCATTTTTTTGTAAGACTAGTCCTTATTCCAAAGTGAAAGAAACTGCATTTCTGTAAGTACAAGTTAGCTATTAGCATATTAAGAGTTAATTTGTATAAGAAAAAGTCTTTTTAGATGGGCAGAATTTTTGCCTGTCTTCTGTTGTTCTTGCTTTTACCTATGAGCTGTGGTTGTATTGAAACCACCAGCGACTCTGTTCATCTCTATGCTTCCGGTTAGTCCTAGGACTTTCTTGCTTCACAAAATGCATAATATAAGGCTCTTATTTCTTTCTCTTCAATGTTTTGAGGAATATTTTTGTTTGCGTTTTGACAAGAGCTTGTAATGTTTTCAAGATCGTGAGATCTGTGAGCTTAGTGAGATCTGTGCTATATGTAAGCACTATAAAAATCCAGGAAAAAAAAAAATGACTCTCTGCAGTGCAGTTATAATGTAGCTTATCTGAAACCATGTGTCRGGGCACCCATGGCACTGCGGAGTTCCAGAAGTGCAGGAGTGTTGCCATAGTCATCTTCACTATACCTTAATCCAAAATGAGGAGTGGTTGCTGTGGCCGATATTCCTCAGCTCAACCTAGACAGAAATACTCTCCCTTCCACCTCTTCACAGCTCTGCTCTAGAGACCTGTGCTTATGGAAGAATTTTCCTGTGGAAAATACTTTTTCACAGACTGAGATTCCTGCAYGAGCTTTTGGAAGACCGCTTGTATCAAATAGCTTGTTCACAGTGCACAAAACGTATGGGTGCTTTAGTTGTCTGAAATCCCACGTCACAGTATAGATCGTCAGGGCTGCTTGGTGGTGTTGGTGGTCTCTGATTTGGGCCTTCTGCTTTAATCATTTTTCTCACCTGCTTCCTGGGTCCCTGGGAGCTGAGGTGACCTGTGAGGATGGGGCTCTTTCGGCTAATAATTTCCATTTAAAATTCTGTTCCCATCCAGTAGCATTTATTCATATTTACAAAGTGTCCAGTATGAATAATGTATCAGACCATTTATATTTAATATTTCAGCTTAATGACCCAGTTCTGTTGTTTTTCACTTTACATCTGTATCATTCTAATTGTATATGGTTTTCTCTGGTATCAGATGCAGATTTTTTATTGTTAAATCTTGGTTTGCTGAAGTGTTTGCAATTAATGTGATCTGTAGAGATGCCCATAATATTTCAGTTCATTGCTTTTCTGTAGGGTGAGTATCTATATGGTGGCTTTGTATATGGAGGCTTTCTATGGTGGGTATCTTTGGAAGGTCACTGATTTGGAGGAAATGCTATTGTCATTTCCCACATATTGCCCTGTTGTAGAGCCCATTCTGTAATTAGGCAGCTTGAAAGCAGAGCAGCATTTAAAAATAAAATAATATTTAAAAAAAAAAAAAATAACACTTTCTACAGCCCAGACTGATGAAATGAAGCAAAATCCACCGTGTTATCTTTAAGCAGATGGCAGGAGCACCCTGGTCTGTTCCCCACGCAGGAGGTCAGAGGTGGCATCACAGCCTTTCCCTTACACAGGTGCAGCTAATTTCTCGAGTCCGTCTGGAGGCCGGTGCTGGAATGGTGCCCCTCCTGCTGAGCAGCTCCGGTTTAGAGACACCTCCTGAGAGCAAGYGCGGTGCTGGGAACGATGCTGATTCAAATCGTTTAACGTGACCCCGCACAAGCAGTGCAAACACGGGCCCTGTYGTGTTTTTGGCAGCGGGGCTGGGGCTTTTGTGTCTGCGGCAGCCCCTGGCTCTGCCCCTGTGCGCGGGCACCAGYGCCCATGGTGTGGGAGAGCGAGGGGCGCCTGCTCTCCCTGTGCGCCCCGGGCCCGGCGCCTTTCATGGAATGGAAGCCGTTGGAGCGCTTGGCAGGCCTGCTCCTTCCCTCGCATCCAGCGCTGGCAGCTGCACTTCATCTCCATCCGCGCGCTGGGCAGCGCGAGCGAGGGCTGTCACCGCCGAATGGATGGCAGGTAGAGGGGAGGGGGCGCGCGCCCGGCCAGCCGCTCACCATTGGCTTCGCATTACGGCATTCTCCCCCGAGAGGGCTCTGCGCCCAGCCCCCTCCGCCAGCCCTCATTGCCGATGCGCGGCGCGAGGCAGGCGGCCGCCACGCTCGTCACGCAGCCCGCCTGGCAATGAGCTCATCCTTTGCTGCGCGCGGCTCCCTGGCTGCCTCGCTGCCGCCGGCCGGCACGCGCGCCGCCGCCACGCCGGCCCTGGGCACTCGCCGCCGCTCTTCTCCCCACGCACCTTGCCTGTGCTCCCCTTCTGCCATTTTCCTGCTTTTTAGATACATTTGAGATCCATGTTTTCTTCGGTTTGCTTTTTCCATCYGCCTCGGACTCTGGCGGAGCCAGCGCAGTGGATCATTTTTTTCCTTGATTCTTAGCAAAGATGCTTTTCTGTTTCTGAGACGCTCCTTAGCTGCTGCAGCCGCCYCTGAGCCTGCTCGGGACCCGCAGCTGGCTCCGCTCCCGGTGCCCCTTTGAAATCCTGCTGAAAAGCCTGTTCTCCTCACTCTGGATACTTACCACTTGCTGCTCATGGAGGAAGGGGTGCCTTGCAAAACCCCTGCTGCCAAGCTTGCACCACCTGTCAAAAAGTCCCAGGACATGCATGACGAGAGGAGCAAGCTGGTGAACGAGTATGCATGCCGGGTGCTGGAACTTCTGGGCATGGGCCATCGCCTGTTCGTGCCTCGGCTGCTCGCGGTGAGATCACCTTTTCTTGAGATTAATTCATCTGCCACTGCCCCTCCCAAACCCACTTCCTCCCCCAGATCCTTTCCATTGCGTGGAGACAGCCCCTGGTTTTCCCTTGCCTTCACCTGACCCTTTTCCTAAGCACTGCTGCTGCCTTGCTGCTGGGAGGGCTGGGTGCTATGGTGGATTGTGGCTGCTCCTTATCCAGCTTGGAGGGGCTCAGCAAGGGCTGCAGTCTAAAAAACTGTTTTTCTAAGGCTGGGAGGGCTTTTGTTCTCGGCTCGGGAGCGGCAGCAAGTCAGCAGCATGCCCTGGCTGCTGCTGGAAAGTGCACCAGCATCACATCCGATTCTGTAGCTGCAGCATCATGGGCTTTAAACATTAGTAAAAAATCTGATTCTGCTGATGTATTTTTGGTTTTTAATGGTTTTGTGCTTGTCTTTAGAAAGCTAGATGATGCCATGTGAAAGAAGCTTGAATTATGAGTATAAAGACTACCTGAGAAAAAATTGCTGAAGGCGTTTTTAGCCCTCATAGCACATGAGGTGTGTGCCTGTGAAACGGCCGGGGCCAGGGCGGCGTGTCATGGCGCGGAGAAGCCCGGCCTGCGTCCTCACTCGCACTGCTGGGCACAGCAGAGCCGAACCCGCAGACGCAGTGCCCGGGCCGCGTGGGGCCCTGCTCCCAGCCTTGCTCCGGCYGCAGGCGCCTGTGGGCTGTGGCAGGCTGGYGACAGAGCCCATCCCTGAGGTCCTGCTGTTCCCTAGTGGGATGCTGCCCTTCCCCMGGGTATGGGTGGCTCTGCACGGTGYGCAGGGCAAACCGGGAGGCAGCTGTACCAGCAGGTCCTGGCTCTCTGAGACAGCAGGAGGAAACGGGCACAGCCCAACCTAACCACTGGCAAAGCGAAGATGAGTTGGATGCTTGCAGGTATTGGTCCCTACTGTAGGGGCTGGTAACGTATGAACAAACATGCTGGTTGTACAGGCGTTATCCAGGCTTCCCTCCAAGCACCCGCTGGCTCCTGCGTCCAGGCGGTGCCCGGAGCACYGGCACGAGGATCACCGCAGCATGCGAGGGGCCCTGGGGCGGCAGGACAAACCGCTGAGGGCTTCACGCGGCATAATCGGGCTTTGTAGCCAGCTCTCCACATGGAGGAYAGCAGGAAATTTGGTGCACTTCATCCTGCAGTCATCCTTGCTTTACTGAATGGCAGAATTGTGTTTATTAAAAAAAAAATAAATAAATGAAAGACACAAAGGAATAGAGCTAATGCTTGGGTTGATACTGAAGAGGATTTGTGGAATCGGTGTGGTTTCCCATGGGATTTTATTACCTTAATATATCCCTTTCGACACACATCCCTTTCATAGATAAGGAGTGACTGTGTTCCTAATGATTTTTAAAACATGAGAAATCTCTGAGGAGCAGGAATTTGTACGTTAATCAGAACTAAAGATACCACAGAAACAAAAACAGATCTTTTTGTAAGATGAAGTCTAGATTTTTTAGTCAACACATGAGCTTATTCCCCCACCTCTGCTATTGTAAATAGATGCCTGGGGCGAGCAGAACATCAACCACCAGCATGTTGGGTGGGRAAAAAAATAATAATAAATAATCTCYAACACTGGCAGCTTTAGGAGAGTGGAAATGGCCTTCTGGCTGCCCCCAGCTGCGTGTGATGATGGGCAAGTGAGACAGCAGTGATTTGGTGTGGATTTCCCTGCTGACGCAGTGGTGGTGGAGGCAGGCAGTGRATTTTGTGTTTGTTCTTCAGTATTTTGTGGAGCAGAATTAAGAGGCCTTGGTAAGGAGAGGTATGTGGCTGCTGTGGGGACTGGTGCGCGCCACGAGCGTGCGGTCCTCCTGGATGCCAAGTCATTGCATGGGCACCTGAGGCTGCGTCCTTCACCAACTTTGGCCTGCAAAGCAGTGTTCTGTTTTTTCTGTGACTTTCTTGTAACAAAGCAGTGTCTTAGGGTGAACAGATTTTGTCCAGAAAGATGGTTTTTTTGCCAGGGTTGCCTTTGCATTAGGGAAAAGGGTATAAGCTTTGCCAATAAAGTGTGTGTGTGTGTGTRTGTGTGTGTATATATATATAGTAGTATGCACATGTGTTTGTCAGAAGCATGTGTCTGTGTACCTGTAGCTGCATTGCTGTAGCAAACAAGCTTTGCAGCGTTGTTTGTAAGCGAATCGGCCCTCACGCTCGCCAGATGCACCATGGCTCCTCCTCTTCCTCTCGCCATCATGCACCAGGGGTCACATCTGGGCCTCATCTGTAAGGGCAGCAGTGTGAGAAATGGTGCAACAGGCAGTGCTGCAGCTTGTGCTCCCAGTGCCAAGGGAGGTACCAGCTTAGAGAAAATAGCTTCCACATCTTGATTGCTTTCCACAGCATATCTTCCTGCGTGCTCTAAAAGAACTTAAATCCATCTCTGTTGACGTTGCAGGGTAAATATGCTCTGAAAAATTGGTGTGAGGATGCTTGTAAGCATTGCAAATTTACCAGTAGCAATTTGAATGCAAAGGTGGAGTTTAGCCAGATCGTTCTCTGCTGTTTATTTTATCCTGTTCCTGACACCTGTTCGTTGAAGTGTAAAACAGTAAATTTTGATTTAGTAGCAATTTATTGTTACTGATGTTCTAGAGAAATTCTCTATATACATTCTATATAAAGAGCATCCTATAGAAATTACTGTAGTTTCCTTCTTAGAAAGGAGGAAGTAAGTGAAGAAAGTAGTGTGATTAATCCCAAATTTCTTCAGATTTATTAGTTCCCAGGTGGGAATAAGAGATTTAGCTGATATAGGCAGTAACAGAGACTGTAGAATTATTAATTGAAGACAGTAGAATTAAAGAAAAAAGCAGTCTTGGTCCTTTGTATTAATCACATTTCCTAAATACTGTAGGGGAAATTAGTTGTAATACTGTTAACATTATTCGCTTTAAAAATTCAAAATTCACTTAGTTTAATTCTCTGAAAAAAATTATCTTTTAAAGCTCATATTATCTTTTCCTAATTTATCAAGCATTTTTCATTTCCCGGAATGTTACCTTTAGGTCTGAAAGCTTCTATAGTATCTATTGAGAAGTGTTTTTCCTAGTTTTACCCAGTCCATATGATACTTTGTATCCCATAGATCATTTTTTTTATAAATGTGTAATACTTAAGTTGCATGGGAAGGAGTTCCTAGGGAACGTATTTAGCCAAACCTTAGAAGGTGAGCTGAGATTTTAGAAATTGTTAACTAATAATTTGCCTGCTGTGTTTATCTGGTTATTTGTTGCCTTTGATATTTCTAATGCGTAGAGCTTTGTTAGCATAATCAGTGCAGCAAAGTGTAGAATATGCAAGAATGTGCAGCCCAGCAAGTGTTGCTCTTAACGTTAATTTGATTCTCTGTGGTTTTAATTGTGAATCTCTGTTCTGATCAATGTTTGTAATTAAACAAAAATGCGGAGTAGAGTAGAAAGAGCCAAATACGGTGGGCTCTGCCCCTTGTTTTGTTAAGCTGTCCAAGGTGATGGTTTGTATTTTTACACAAGTGAAGTCAGTGATAGAAATTTATTATTTTACTCTCACTGTTTTTTCCACTAAGTAAAGGGTTTTCTGGGTTGGGCCCTGGAATTTTCAGGGAATGAGTCCTTGAATTGCTAATTCAATAGTGTTGAAGGAATATTTTCCCTTGGATTCATTTAAAAGTATCAATATATCAGTGATTCAGGTAGGTACCTAAGAACGTTAAATGTAGCTGTGTTTTGCATATAAATGCTGCCATTTTCATGCAAAATCTAAATCTCTCAATGCGTTATATTAATTTAGTTTAAATGCAGCACTTAAGTATTTCTGGTCTGAACCTTGAGGAAGAATACTTACTTAAATCAGGATACTAGCTCCTAATAAAATGGTAAAAAGTGTTTGTTTTGTGCTGGGAGCAGCTGTCCAGAAGTCTTGATGGCAAAATAGCCTCCCACGCCATGGAGAGCCCAGCTGGGCCACCCCAGCTACGCGCAGTGAGCGAGAGCAGCGGGGTGCATTTGGGCAGCATGTGGTGCCCTCCCCTCACCACCTAAGGTCATAAGGCATAGAGTGTTGTGAGGAGCAGGGCTAGAAAGGACATGGTTAGGGGTTCCACTTGCAATGCAGGAAGCTTCGTCTGCATTTGAGAAAGCATTTCATTGATGTTGGGTTGGTAGGGTACTAGAATAGGCTTCCCAGTGAGGTTGTCATGTCTCCTCCTTTGGAGACTTTTGAAGTTTGCCTCTGTGGACGGAGGTGAACCCAGTCAGGGATCCATCCCATTCCCCATGGGAAGGAGTCCACGTGCACCTGCATGGAGCCAGGCCAGAGGCCACCCTGCGCTTTGCTCGCGGGGAGGGGGAGTCGGTGTGGTGCAAACAGCAGTGGGGACTGGTGCTCCTCCTGCAGCGAGTGCTGGGGCAGCTGGGCTGCTCCCCGCCTGTACCTTGTGAGGCTAGTGCACCAGTCCTGGGCTGTAACTGGAGGCATCTCATTCACTGAGTCTGACTCGGATTGGATCTCACGTTTTGAGATGATGTCCTAAATGAACTATTTAAAGCCCTGGTATTGTAGAGCTGCAGTCTGTTGGTGTAGCCTTCAGTAAGTCCAGAGATGGATGTATTTGTCTGTGKCCTGTCGATCCCTTTATTTTGTCAGTAGCAGAACAGAATTAATGTTGAAACTGTAACATTTTCTGGCCTGTTAGCATTAGGCTAGTTACCACGGTGAGAGATAAAACATTTTAAAGGATACAGGAATATATGTGAAAGGTTTTTTTTTCTGGCATAATGCTCATTGAGAAACTGTGTCACAGACTTCTGCACATTGACTTSCTGATGCCTCCTATGAGTCAGAGGCATTTTGCTTCTCATGTCTGCAGCCATGGGTATCTATATTTATGTTGTCTTTTTAGGACTACATGAGGAAAATCAGCTCTGAAAAAYAAACTTTCTATAAAATATGTTTGTTGTCTTTTTTCGTGTTTGGTTGTTCTGCGTTTTTCTCCTCCCTGAATTGCATCAYGACAGGCTTTGCCCGATTCCCTCTCTAACCTGGTAGGTGGAGGAGATTAAAGTATGTTGGCAGGTTACAGTCTACCGGTCACAGGGCTCTGCCTGGGATTCCTTGAACATGTTCTGACTTCTGATTCATTTTATGAGATATATGTTAGGGAGCTATTTCCATAGAGGGTGTTTTTGAGCTAATGTGTTTTGGAACATATTCAATAAATGACAAAACCAGTAAAAGAGCACGACTGCGTGTTCTTGGTGTTCACAGCTGCTCTCTGTGTTTGATTGCAGACCTCAAAAGAAGACCTTTTGCAAGCTGATTTTGAAGGAGCTTTGAAATTCTTCAGGGTGCAGTTGCCCAAGAGGTACAGAGCTGAGGAGAACGCTCGACGACTGATGGAGCAAGCTTGCAACATTAAGGTAGGAGCAGTCTCCCTTTCCTCTCCTTCACCCCCGACYTTATTCATGGAAAGCAAGGAGTGGTGCTGAGAATGGCAGTAGGATGCCGACAAGCATGGTCCCGGAGTCATCRTCGTTTAATTACTTTATGCATATATGTGTATTTGTATGCGTACACAGATTTTTGTATTTAAAGGAAATGTAGCACTGAGCTTTCCCCTTTGTCTTTGGCTCAAGCTACTAATTAAAATAGAAAACTGATGCATAATTAGAAATTATCATCAGTGCCCCCAAAGGCATTAGCTATTTTGTAGTCATAACATTACAACAGTGAACCAGATATCATGTCATCATACAATGATATGTCAGATAATATTTGTTTTATTTTGAGGCTATTTATTTGCAGACTACTGTTTTATCTATAGATAACTGCAAAGTTAGTTTCTTTTGTGCATGAAGTTTGCCAAGACCAAACATCTTTTTATATTGCACCCTCTCCAAGACCTTGCTATCAAACGAAAGGCTTCTTTGAAGGTCTTGGACACAACTATTGGGCCTTTAATCAGTGATGGCGAGTTACAGGATCCTGACTATAAGCTTTTGGGACTGGGAATGTTTTACTGAAAATAATCACAGAAATAATAAAACTGTCATTCGGAAGGTCTGGGATTTTTATGGACTTCTCTGTTGGAATATGTATAGTGATGGATGGGCTTAATATTTGGTCCTCAGACAAGAAAAAAAAAGGGTTTATTATTTCCTAGAGCTTGAGCTCTGGTGGGCAATGTGTGCTTGGTGCAGGCCAAAGATGGGCTGAGAAATACAATTAAATATGTTTCTCTATCTCTAACATCGTATTTATTTCTATCTYTCTCTCAATATTTATGTATATATATATGTATTAAGCAATATTTTTGTATTGCTTAATAGTTGTTAAAGCAAAAGCTTTTTCCATACTTGTTAAAAAACTGACCTTTTGAGAGACGGGGCTTTTCAGTATTCTTGTTTATTCTAGACAAAGCAAGGAGGTTCTGTGCAAAGGTTTTTGTTTTTCTTTTAATTGGRCTTGAGATTTGAACTCTGCTGCTGAAGGATGGGAGTATTTGGAAGTGAAGGACTACAATTGCATTTGATGTGTTTAGGACTTTCAGCTCAGTTCTTGCAAATGAGTAATTTAGAGATCAACAAGTACAGTCAAAATATCTTTATGCTGTGTGTACTCAGCGTGTATTTTTCTGATGCAAGGTTAAAACAAAAGTCCTCATGGCATTTTTGAAAGGGATTTATGTGTTTTCCTGAGCCTAACTGTTGTATTTTCTTCTCCAACAATGTGATGTGTGCCCCATGATGGTATTTTTTATTAACCTTTTAAATTGTGTCTGTTGTGTGTTTATATGCAGCGTGTTGTTTGGAAAGGGTTTTAAATTCCGTTTGAGGCAGTTGTTAGAGTGCTTACGTGGTTTCAGCACGTGGGACCGAGCAAAAGCAAGAGGTAAGCCTGCTTTGCCATGGATGGGAAGGCAGCCGAACCGTCACCCGGAGAGGTTGGGCAGTCTCTGTCCTTGGAGAGACTTGGGTCCCGAGTGGACACAGTTCTGGGCAGCCTCGTCTAGCTGACCCTGCTTGAGCAGGGGGCTTGGACTAGATGATCTCCATAGGTGCCTTCCAACCTCAGCTATTTTATGATTGTATAATTAGATATTATAATAATGGTGTTTACAAACAGGAGCTAATAATTACAAGASATATGTTTGAATAGGAAAATAGTCTTGATAATTGTCATTAGATAAGGTCCTAGGGAATGCAGAGGTCAGATGTAGTCGTCGTCCGTCTTGTTGACAGGGCAAAACTTGTTATGTTTGGAAAACAGAAGCCCTGTATGTGTTTTACTGCAGTGAGAGTGAGGTGCTGTGCTGTTCCTTGCTTCTGTATTGATATTTGTAACCTAAACATGAGGCATTAGAAAAAAGCAACCCATCTGCAGAGTAGATGTAGCTGTAAAAGACTGAATTTAGGAAGTTATCTGCCAAGATTCATAGGGTAGACAGAGCCCAATATCATACAAATTTTTCCTTGCCATCTATGAGATAGAGTAGAAAGATATTCTCTGAGCAGGAGGTCAAGATGTTAATTTAAGGGTTAATAAAAAGCTAATAAAGCATGAACATTTAAAGTTAACGAATAGATGAATAGAAGATTTTTACTACTTTTGTTTCMAGTTATTTTTCCAGTCTGTAGTTGTTAAATGGCCAACTCTTTCCTATTACAGTGGCCTATACAAAGGGAAGGGGATGTTCGTCTTAGTGCAGCAGTGTAAGGTGAAAATCTGTTTGAGGAGAATTTTCCAGCTGATGGGAGCAGGYTGTGTATTATGCCAGTAGAATAAAGGATTGCCTTGATTTCCAGCAGCCTAGAATGATTGTCAGTACTTTTTGTACTTATGCTTTTTATTTTRTTTTGTTTGTTTATTTTCACATTCTGCTTGTGATGAAACATTACAAGGGCTTTTCTGTGTCTTTGGAAGCTCTGCTTAAGGAATGAATGAAGAAGGAAAGAGCCTCTTCTAGGTCAATGAAAGTTAAACTTAATGTACTGCTTTATTGAAACAGCTAACATGTTCTATATACTTGTTAAACCTGCCTCAGCTATTTCTCAATGCAGTATCTCATGTAAAGATCTGTACATGTCCTCAGAAAGGGGTAATGCTTTTGATTGTAATTTTAGAAATTTATCAGCTTTATTCTTTCAATTCAGTTTAGGCTGCAGGTTCTCCCCTTGCCTGCCTGGAAAAGTCACTCTGGAGAGGCTATGTAGCTGATAAATCAACCACCAACAAAAACATTGGGATAACAGGCCAGCAGCTGCCATCTTGCCTTCTTTTACATGAATCTTTTGCACCGAATCCTTTTTTACTTATCAGTGAGTGGCAGGTAAAGACTTGCTATGTTGAGGCTCTTGTAAGAATCATCGAATGACCTTGAAAAAACTTGGTGGCTTTGTCAGTCCAAAGCCACCATGGCAAGTCCTATCCCTGCTGCGTGTACCGGCAAGGTTATCGGGCTGTGCGGAGCACAACCACACCCGACRGCCACACTGTGCTTTATGGCAAGGGCTTTTCCAGCTGAGGGAACAGGAGCCATGCTAGAGTTTTTCTCACTCAGGAAGTGTTCTTAATGTACATTTAAAATTGGAACTATTTAATGATATTGCTCTATAAATGCTCTAGAATCATTATGGTTGGAAAAGACCTCCAAGATCATTGAGCCAGCCATAGGGAAGGGATACCTGGCAAGGTCAGCCCAGGAGCCGCAGGATTCCTCCTCCCGACTCCTGGCTGCTCTGGTGGACATGCCCGGAAGGCTCCGCCGGGCGGGAAGCAGYGCCGCGCAGGTCGCCAGCCTGGGGAGCTGGCTTTACCACATGCACTCGTGGGCATGAGAGTGGCACGTTCTCCAGGGGCAGGGATTGAATCGAACACAAATTTTGAAGCTAACATTGTCCTGTGGTTGGGGAATTATTCTAGCCGCTCCTCTGCAGGCATGGCTTAGCAAGAAATTATATCTTGATTTGTGTGAGTTTCAGTGGAATGGAATAAAAATAACTTGCTTGTTCTCTCCTTTTCTCTTTAGCACATTTTCCCTCTTTGTCTTTGCGTATGTATATATGTGTATTTATCTGGATGTTTGGGAGCTTTTACTRTTGTGAGAGTAAAATGCAGCAGCAGAAAAAAGAAAGGAGATAAACGTGGAAAGACTTTGAGATTGTAAAAGCTTTTTATTGCTCTGGTTCTGCCAGTGATGTATCTAATTAACCTTCTAATGGACAGGAGGAAGGGGGAAAAAAAAGGCATATTTATCAGCTGCTGAATAAAAGGACCAAAGGAAGTTGAGGAGAATGGTATTTAGATCCACAAACCCTGTTGAGCCACTATGGGACTTACTGTGAAAAGCTGATGATGAAACCCCCTGCCCCGGCTATTGCTGGTGAGCAGAGTCTGGTGACACGAGAAGATGGGTTGTGGTTTTTAATGCCTGCTCTGAGTTCAACTGCAGCCTCTGCCTTTCTGTTTGACTTTGTGGAATTACCCAGTGCACTGAACTGGCAGACGAGAATGAGACTGGGCTGCCTGGAGCACAGCCTGACCTTTCACATGATTGTCATCTCGGTGATGAGCTTTTGCTACCAGCTACTGATTCCAATACTGYAGCTCTGGCTTCCTAATGTACACACCTGCAGCCTGCATTAGGCAGTGAGGTTTCATTTGCTTGGTGTTTAAGCATTAAGAAAACTGCCTTTTTAAAAAAATTTTGCTTTGAGTTATCACTATAAATCAGATATATAATTAATTTTATAAACAGAGAAAGGATAAACTTAAAAATACAATATATTTGCTAAAAAGCAGATTTAAATTAACCAAAATTGTTATGATTTTAGGTTGAATCATTAAGTGTTTCTTTCTAGGAATATCTCTAAACTTTAATTTTCACTTAAACTAAATAGCATCTTATCTTCCCTGCTCTTGGTGAAGGATGTTCTGGACGCAGTGCAGAGGACAACAGAGTCMGTTCAAAATAAGATGCTTTCCTTCATTAAGACACTTTTGTGATGCAGAACAGAGTGTAGAGAAAAATAAATGTATCCCAAGATCAATACTTATGGATATAATGCAAAACAAATAAAACCTCSGGCTTTCACATTGTGGCAGAAGACATGTAAGTAAAGTATAGATGTAGAAAGACTGAGAAARATCTCTGTGCCCTGTATTTGTTGACCAGAAAGAAGTGCTCAGTATATTTTGATGTCTTCAGCAGTAACAGAAGTATTCAGTCTCAAATAGAGAATTTTTTTGGAAATGAAAATTCAGATATACTTCTCTTTGTCTCCCTCAAGCAGTCAGATGTGAGGAAGCTGATGGAAGCCGAGCAGTAAGCAGCAAAGCAGTGGTTCACAGGGAAGCTGCTTTCAGATGCTGTAGACCCTGGTGCCAAGAAGCTGAGCCCCTTGCTAGCCTCAGTCTTGGT